AGAGAGAGAGAGAGAGAGAGAGAGAGAGAGAGAGAGAGAGAGAGAAAGAGAGAGAGAGAGAGAGAGTGCACACAGAAAGAAGAGAGAGAGAGCCCATCAGTGACAAGAAGACAGTGTAAAGTACCTCAATCCCAAGCAAACAGTACTGACAGACGCAAGAACTGTGAGCGTGAACACGTCTAACAGAGACAGAGTGATGTGCAACAGAAACAGAGTGAGAGCGTCGTCTAATTAATTAACCTGTTGACTCAAAGATATTTAATAAAGTCCAAATTAGATTTTTAAAGAATTTTATATAAAAAGAAAGACCAATTATTGAATCAACAGATGAATTAAATGAACGGTCTGTAGCTGCAGCGTCTCCACAGATCAAACACGAATGCTGAGAAGCCGAGTGGCGTCTGCGATGAGATTTCACATTCACATGGTATCTGGGGATCACTGAGGCCTGAGGATAAACTGAGGATTACGTTTGATTTCTGTCCATCAGACAGCTCCCACAGTGAGAGCTGCTGGTGGCCAGAGGGAGGCGCTGTTTGCACTGGAGGTCCTTCAACCTCAACCCAAATCCCAGGCAAACCCGCTGAACTCAGATCTGTTCAGAGTGCTTTGAATCACAGCTGCACGAGTAATCGAAATTTTTTGACAAGATTACATTATGGCCTGCTGCAATTTCAAATCTCAGTGTGTGTCAAAATATCGTTTTAAATTAAATTAAGTTGTGCAGCAGACGTCCTGACCTGCACAGCATCTACAGACTTAAAAAAAAAACATTTTCTTTGGTACAGATCTCTGAAAACAGTCACACCATAATCATTTAAATAGGTTTTAACTCCTTATGACTCCTTCTATGATTGCAAGAGTATTAGATATTGTTCAGCCCTACTTTAAATTCTTAGTTTATATTTAAAAACGATGAGATCAATCTAAAGTTAGTGACACAGAGACTGATCAAACCCAGGTGCTTCTGTGAATACACGAGATGAGACACGACGTCGTCCTTCACACCCGGCATGAACAGCGTGTTCATGTCTGGCACTGTGACCGTAACGCGATCGGCCACATCTGGAGTCTGGCAGGTGTTGTTGTGATCTGATCTCAGCCAGGTGTGAATGCATAACATACAGTGTGACCACATTCTTAAGAGGGGAAAAAAATATATCCTCCCGGCAGAGAAAGATCACTCAACTGCACTTCTTGCTGGTTTCTAAAGCGTTAAGTAACGGCAGAAGCTAAGAAGTCTTCTCTTTAAAAAAGTGACTTTAATATGAACACTCGTCCGGGCAGAATCCCTCCGATTAATAACGGTTGTAAAAGCAAAGGCCCCCGGAACAGATGTCTTAATCTATGCAATGTATCCAGATACTGATCACGTCATCACCACACCAAGTCTACGGTTTCAGACGGTCGCTGTTTCACTTTTAAAGGAATGAAAACACACATAATAAAAAGGGAGAAATTAACATTTCCAGGTTGAACTTCTGACCATGACTTAGCATGAAGGCGAATATATTGTGACTTTATATTACAAGCAGACATCGAGTCCAAAGACGAGGCGCTCTTCGTGAATATTAAAGACATCCCACAGTCAGATAAAAGGCCTTAACCCGCACCATCAGACGTAGAGAAGTACTTCACCCACAAAATGATGAGCATCTTCGCAAAAATCGGTTGAAAACACGTCGGATGACCGTTTAGTGTTTTAAATATTAAGGTTTAAGCGAAGATGCATGTGTTTGGGAAGCAGTGAACATACAAATGAGACTTGTGAGTTTGTAAATTAATGTTTTGATATAGTTTTGTTGTTGTTAAACGTGCTCTTCATTTACTTTTCCACGTTTGTCGTGTAGGCATTTATTAAAAAGTCAAGGTAACACCAGCTGATTGATATACAAATAATCATTTTGGAGGTTAAGTACTGTGAGAGCCAAAAGCACAAAAGATATTTTATGAATCTACAATCTTTAAGTCTACATTTTGAAATGTATACATGTTGTATTTTCTGCTTTTAGAATACAGTCCAGGTGTTTTGCCAGAAACAAATGGAGAAGTAAGGTTGATTATGTATTTGATAGTTTATTGTTAAGTTGTTTATTGTTAAGTTGTTTACTGCGTATATGTAGAGTGTAAAAAGTCAATAATTCTGGTCAATATTGACCTTCAGACAGCAGTGACTCACTTGCAAAGATGAATTATTGGTCGATGACTTCAAAGGTTAACTCACTTTAGTTCGTGACTGTGCATGATTTGGAAAAATGTGAGGTTTTGTGCTTCGGGGACAGTTGAGGATCTATAAAACAGGCTGGGACTGGAGACAGAAGGGCCTTACTTGAGTTCTGGCCATAGCCAGGAGTGCCTCCATTAATATGAGGCTGCTGCTGTTGCTGCTGCTGCTGCTGCTGTAGCTGTTGCTGCTGTAGCTGTTGCTGCTGCTGCAAGGAGAACTGGGAAGTGACCGACGGCGCCCGGCGGTAGGTGCCCGTGGCCGAAACCATAGAGACAGAGGAGTTGGAGGGGTTGTGCCGCGAAATCTGCCGCGAGATGGTTCCAAACTGGGACATTGGAGCGGGGCCCAGACCAGGCCCAGGGGCCACCACTAGAAACACCCACAGACAAGGAAGGAAGGAGATAGGGAGGACCAGAGAGAGAAGGGAGGGGGGGTTAGATAGAGGAGACAGAGAGGGGAAGAGGGGGGGAAAAGCACCCACATCATGAATCAACAAGGTTGTAAAAGATAATTTGAGCCTTTAAATACTGATTAGAGCCCCACACCTTATGAAAAGACAATCAACAACCAATTTGAGGAAGCAGGTGTGATGGGGAAGCAACACAGTTCGTGATTCCATTTCATTTATATTATGTAAATATTCATTTTTCTATGTATAAGAGCATCTGGAGCACAGCAATTTATTTTGGGGATGAATAAAGTTGTTAAATATTTGACGCCTGCATATAAAATCCTGCATAAATACATCAAAGAAATGTTCTGAATATTTAAAAAAAAAAAAAAAGAGTTAAGAGAAAATATCATTTAAGATAAAATGAAAATAGTCAATATGACTTGAACCTTTGTGTGCGTGATAAAAGAGTTTCACAGATGTTACACGGGGCGTAAAATGAAAAAACATGAATCTTAAGAGGTCATCTGAATAAATCCAGCACATAGAACTGTAACTGTAGTATAGATCCAGTGAGCAAAGAGAAGCTGCAACAGAACAGACAGATCCCTTCAGGTTCACACGGATAGACAGAGAAAACAACTTCTTCACACACTCGTCAAAGACGTGGTTATATTTGTGATTCATGTCTATTTGTGCTATCGCAAAGGGGCGGGGTGGACTTTATGATTGAGTCAATCATTACACCGGGTGTCCAAGAATAACCAAATAATCTATGACGACAGCAGCATTATTACAACATTAAATCAGTTTAAATATTTGAAGATGCAGAGTGTGAATGTGTGTGTGAGAAAATAAGAGGAAGAGATTTATTTTGGAGTATTTCCTGTTCACATTTCTAGATAATGTGGTGTCTCTCAGGAGAGAGCACGCTCTCAGATAGGAGAGGGTGGAACCGGAGGAGCAAACAAACTTCTCCACATACCGTCACCGGCAGAAGTAATTATAGTTGAACGTGTGCATTGATGTTCCGAGGGTGAAAAGAGCACGCACACACACCCACACCTTTAGTTGAGTTAGTAGGTCTATTAATCTAGAATTAAGGGGAAATAGCCAAACATGCAAGCTAGTGTAATGTTGTTGGCTTGTAGTTTGTTGTGCATTTATAGAAAAAAAAAAAATGCAATTTAAAATCTTATTTTACTTCTAAATCTAAACAGGTCACATGTTAGCAAGCTAACGTTAGCTCTGGCAGCTGGTTCAGTAAGCTACGCAACATCTGGCAGTTACTGGGTGTAAATATTATAAAATATAAAGATGGATCTCCATGTAGGAGCTCATTAGTGTGGTGCAACCCGTTTTAAATAAGTGATGCATACAGTTATTCACTTAGTAAACACTTGAGCGATCACTCTAGGCTAAGTTTGGATTCATCAACAGCTGGTGCAACCGGCTCCAGATCGGCTTTCTTCAGTCCCAGAAATGATTTAAGAGAGAATAAAAGACATTTTGCCTGATGCGGCTTTAACCACCATCACTTTTTGACATACCTGTGCAGAAAGAAGTCTCAAAGGCCTTCAGGTAAATTACCTTTCTATCTTTCACTGGAAACACTTCCCACATTCTGTCAGTGCCTCAGTTTAGAGGGCTTCAATATATGTTGTTAAATCATCATCTGGTCTGTCAGCGTGGATGACCCGTCTAGATATGCAGCAGATTGAGGTCAAATTTGTAGAGATTCTGAAGGCCGTAGGTGATATGAGACTTCTTCATTAGCCAATTAAAGCAGATAAGTGAAGAGCAAGGAAGCACCACCACCACTGAGGATCACATAGTATGCAACCGGTCTCCAAAAAGAAGCACATAGTCTGTTCACACTGCAAGCAAGACTCTCAGCAAGTCAGTTCCTACAGAGCTGAACTACCAGCGGAAGCTGGTAGTTCAGCTCGTGTTTATCAACTGAAAAGCCAATCACATTTACATCCTTCCTCATCCCCGAAATATTTATATTTCATTCAAACATTATATGTTTTAAAGCTTTAAATTCAGACACTGTGGAAATAAAAAAAGCTTGTAGAACAGTTGCATCCATTACTCAAGTTTATAGGTAAGCATTACGTTTTTAATCCTTATTTTCATGAACTAACTAGTGGTCTTTAGCAAGCTTTGTTTACTCATAAACCAGAAATAATCTTCCTCTTGCTTGCAGTGTGTACAAACAGTCAGACACCCATCAACACCCTTATTTGTGCATCTCCACCAGAAGAAGATCCCAGGACACGTGATGATTATCCCACCGTCCGGGCAGAAGAGGCCACAGGAGCGGCCTCGGGGGTCGAGGTGTCTCACCTATAGCTGGTGGAGGAGGTGGTGGTGGCGGGGGGCCGAGCCCGGCCATAGGAGGAGGTGGGGGTGGGGGAGGCGGAGGGGCTCCCGGGGGAGCAGACATGGGCGGGACTGAAAGGACATTAGTCACCGTTTAAAGCAGAGGTCCGGACAGAGTCGGTCCTCGGCAGCTCTCCTGCACCTCAACTCCGTTACACAACATCACTTCTACTTCATTAGGGAACCCCTTGGGAGGCCTTTTCAACTTGGAGACAATGTCAGAGCCGTGCTTAGTTCCGTGCTGCCGGCCTGATCCCCGGCGCCGAGGTACAAAAAGCTGCTCCATAAACCGAAAATAGTTCTTGTTCAGCTCAAAACTAGTTAAAACGCAGTGGTGTCTGAGGCGTGTGCGTGGTGTAACGCAGCGCTGTGTGGGCCTGACTGTTCCACTGTAGAGCAGCAGGCCCAAAGCGACGTGGCCTATTTACACAGTAGAATAGAGAATCAGCTGTGCTTAGAACACAATGGGCACGCTTAATCCCTGTCTGGTAAACATGGGCTTTGTGTGTAGCGTGGCCTGACTATCTGCACATGCAAGTTACATTTACACCGTGTCAAGCAACGCCCATTATTGGAACATTCATGTGTATTATATTTAAATTTAGTTGCATTAAATTAGATTTTTAGCACATATTTTGAAATTTTAAATTGCAAAGATACAGATATGCACTGTAGTAGTATGAAGTGTTATGTAACAGCTACTCTGTCTACCGCATCAAAGGAAACCCTCACAGGTAGGAGCACTGTGCAAACAGCGCAGCCCGCTTTCTCATCATTTCCTGTCAATGTTTAAAGAGCGTTATCTCATTTCACACCGGGCGAACACACCAGACTTCCAAGTGCAAAAAACAGATTTTGTTTTTGGATTATAAATAAATATAAATATTTGTTCTTTTTATATACTCAAGCCACTTTTTGGAGCATGGGAAAGAGTAGCACAGCTCTTCGGTGGGTTAGCGGCGCTGTAAATCAGGGTGGGGCAGGATCTATTACAGGTTTAAAATAAAGAAAATGCCTGAAGCTGGTCAACTGCATTCCTGCCCTCATCCAATATCAGCAAGGAGAAAGGCTGACTGGCCTGTGGTTACCATCACTGCATGATGTGCAGCTAGCAAAGCTCACCTGGTCCAGAGTTGGGGATGGAGGGCGTAGGCACAGCGATGGGAATGCCAATGCTGCTGCCGCCGCTGTTCTCTCTGCTGCTGCTACCCCCGCTGCTTCCACTGAGGGAGGAGAGAGACAGAAGAGAGAGAGACCAAACAGAGAGAGAGAGAGAGGACGTTGTTTTATTCAGGGCGACCTGCTCACACTTCAAGGCAGGTAACACTGCAGATATATGGACTCTGCTGCATCTGTGCTCATGTTTAATGTAGAATTATCAGACTGTAATACATTTCATTATCATGATACGAGAGATTTCATATACAAATGTTTTCTGGTCTAAAAAGCTGCATTACAGTAGAGACAGTCGTAGTTAAGTGGCATGATGAACAGTCAACTTGGCCATTATATCCACAAAAGTATTAACTGTTTACAAATAAACGTTCCTCCCCCCTGTGAGGATATATGACATGAGAATGTAACATGTATGTCAGCTGTGCAGCGGCCTGTATAAGCGCTGTTCACCCTGTGTTTGACCCCGGGGCTCGTGGATCAATGCCCCGGCTGACTAAATCTCCCCCCCTCTCGCTCTCGCTCCCTCAGCCTGTCCTTGATCCTCATCTCAGCCCCACCTCACCCTTTTCCTGCTCTTTTATCCCCTTTTCTCCCCCCCAACCCACCGGTCCTTCTCCCTACCTCTCACCCCTAACCATCCATCAGCCTCTTTCCCCTCAACCCCCCCCGTCTCCTCCGATTCCTTCCATCCCTCTGGAACCCGCTCCCAACCTCACCTCCCCCCACATCTCTTGATCTCCTTCCCCCCCTCCATCATCCCCGTCTCCCCCTCTCCTCTTCTCTGATCCATGTCAGTGGAGCCCCGGGGCTCTCTGGGCACAAACAGCAGGGGTTGCCCCCTGAAGGATGTTGGTGGCGGTGGGAGCTAAGTGTCTCTGGGCATAAAGGCTAAACAATGTCACGTCGTACTCTCCCCTCCCCCCTCTTCCCTCCTCTGCATGTTTTGGATTCATCCTTTCTAATCCCTCTATAACTTTGCAGCTCCTTCGCTAACCCATTTATCTCCTCCCCGGCTTTTGCTTTGTTTCAAAGCACTCGCTGTCAAATAAAAGCATTCGGCTCCGTCTTCTCCACCTTCCTGCCCGCATTGCCTGGCTCATTCAGCCTCCACTCAAAACAGTGAGCTGTTTATAAATCGTCCGTCTGTAACGCGCAGCGAGGCTTTTCCAAAGTTCCAGCTCACAAAAAACAAATCCCTGAAGCCAATGGAGAGAGAAAATAAACACTTTTCTCCGTGTAAGAAACAAAAACAAAACGTAGAGAGTTTGTGCTAAGCCATCGTGACACGATGACTAGACATGGGTGGGAAAAACAGAGCCATATACTGATAATATATCGACATCATGATATGAGGCCAGCCATCATCTAAGATCTTGGATATTGTAATATGACACAAGTGTCTTTTTCTGGTTTTAAAGGCTGCATTACAGTTAACTGATGTTATTTTCTGAACCAGATGGTTCTAGCTGTATTATTATTTGCCTACATCCACATTGCAGCTGATTATTTATTCAAAATATCATGTTTTTTGTTTAAAATTAACAAACAGTGAAGTGGACGAGTTGATAGTAGTTGAGGGAGAACAGCTGGCACAATAAAAAAAGCTAGTTTAAAGACTTTATTGTATTTTGATGTATGATTCTTCCACATTCAGCATCCTAAATGCATCCTGTTTAGTTTGGATAGTCGAAGCAGGAATCCTGTGATCTTTCCCCACAGGAAGATGGAAGATAATAACAGCAGATATTGGATTCAGGCCTCAGTCGAGCACGGCAGAGACTGATGAGCTGAATAAGCACAGTCGACTCTAAGCCTGCGTAATCAAATAGTGATGCCACAGCAATATTAGCTGGAGCAGGGCATTGGTCAGTTAAAGGGACTTCAGAGCGGCTGTAAACCACAGACCGGTAAGTCCTGGACTTTGGTTTTAATTGATAAAGCAGAAGAAGTAGTTCTGCATGAACGAGCCGCTTTGTGCAAACATACGCGAGCGAGAGAGAGAAGTTGGTTTCCATAGAAGGGAAAATAAAATATTTATGTAATATTTATGAGCATCACAGTTAGCATCACATGCTTTTTAGCTAATGAGGCGACTTCTCTCGCTCGTAACTCAGATTTGATGAAAGAGTTCTGGGTAACAATCCTTGAGAGCTGTGTTCCAGGGTTTCCATGTTGCAGGTTTTTTTTTTTTCAGCACTTCATAATCAGAGGCTTTTACAGATATTAATATCAAAGTGATTCAGGCTGCAGTAACAAACCCCCTGACAAACACTAAATGCTGGATTTAGTGTGGAGGAGAGGAGGAAGAGGTGAGAAAATGATCAAAACAGCTGAACTAAGAGAGGAGATTAGAACTGTACGACACAGAGGGGAACATGGTTTGATGATGCTTTTCTCACATTACTGAAACACCGAGTACACATTCATCTGCAGGTTTGAGAGACTTTTACCCATAAAGTCTGTTGTATAACTTTAGATCTATAACTTCATCAGCAGGGGGCAACAATGTCTGACTGCTTTCACTTTTAGTGTTACGAAGCCAAAACTGACTCCACATTATAACATCTTTAACTGTAAGCTGTTGCTTCTTAAAGTTGTTTATATGCGACATTTTCTGTACACATCACGTCCTTATTGGTGTATTGTGCTTCTGCTACTACTTTGGTTTGTATACTGTAAAGTACTTCTGTTACTGTGTATTCATAGTACTTTGCAGTTCTTTCTACATTGTAATCCGCTTCTTCTGTCTACTCTGTACTTGCTGCTCCTATTGCAGGTTATTTCATTTATTGACTTTTATGTCATATAATTGAACTTGACTTGACTTTAAGTAGCGCGCATGTGTGTGTGTGTTGATCTGCTGCTGTAGCTAATCTATATACGCATGTCCACATTTTCCTGCAAAGTACGTCCCAGTGAGTCGAGCAAGTAATTATTTTCCATTGTCGACTAATTTATTATCTATTTTTCTAATTAACGGGAGAATCGTTTGGTCTGTAAAATGTTTAAAAATAGAAGTTAATTACGTTAAAGCTCCCAAAGCTCAGCATGGCACCTTGTTGTTTGTTTGTCTCACATAACAAAGATATTTAATAGTGACACATAAATCAATTATCAAGAGTCTATTATTGACCTGCAGAGCTGCTCTGATGTGTGAGTGAGTGAGTGAGTGAGTGAGTGAGTGAGTGAGTGAGAGAGAGAGAGACTCTTCTCATCTACCTGTGTGTGCGTTGCCTCTGGTTGAGCGACGCCGTGCGTCCGGGGCTCTGCTGGCCGTGCTGGGCGCCAAGTCGGGCGGGGCTGGTCATGTAGTCGTTGGGCACCGTGGGCGGCTTCACCGGCTCCAGGGTCTTGTAGGACGTGTTGCGTCTGTGCAGCGGCCGGAGAGGCAAGTCAATTTTAAATCATGGACAGGAACGATCAGCGCAAATCCTACGATCAAAACAGCGAGGCCGCGTTCACTAGAGCGTTTTAAATCCCATCAGTTTACTCAGCTGGAGGCTCCAGGCTGCATCACCGTTTACCGTTGGAATTAATATCTGATTAATGTCGCCGACTGCTGCTGCGCGTCAGACGACACTAACAGATAAAAAGTTCCCAGACTTTTCTTTTGCCTGGATTCAGTTTAGTCATTTCAAATGTGAAATAACATCCTGGGGCCTCCTGTTAGCTCAGTGGGTTGTGTTTGTTCACTGTGTTACTCTTCACTAAACATTTATTCATTAAAAAAAGAAATAGCAAAAAATAATCTAAAATATGAATAAATGTGACATTTACTTTCACTGCATGTTCTTGTATCGCCCCCATGAGAGCGCTGCTTTTTTTCTTTTCATTCAATGTTTCATAATTAGAGGATTAGTTTTCTTTTCAAACAGAAATCTTTACCCGAGCGTGCCGCGCCCTGACATGGGAGGGCTCGGCGGCTTCTGCGTCGGCGGATTTGTCCTCGATAGTGTTCCTCCTCTGACTGACTGATTGTTTCCATGTTGCTGTGGTTAGAAGAAGAAGAAGAAGAAGAAACACTTTCAACAAACAAATTACTTCATACACGTCAAATGTTATAGGCTGCCCAGATGACGACATAGGTTTATTTCTGTTGGTAATATTTGAACAGTTATGCAACGCCTCCCCAGCTCATGTTCATCTTGCCGATTGCAGGTTACAAACCTCTGGGTTGTTCCAACAAGGCTTCTTGCAAAACAAGCACGTAACCACCGAAAAACACAGATAACATAAAAGCTTTGAACATCTGGATTTACAGTATTGCGAATTCCGCATAACTTGAGTAAAAACTAAGGATATAGAGCGCATGCTTTGTCTGGGGAGCCTATAAGGATGGACTACAGAACATTTATGGACAACTACACGTGTAGAGTAAGGGACAACATACACAGTTGGTAAATTGACGAGGAGGGTGTACTTATACTAAGAGGACTACAGCGCAAGTCTGTTAATGGGAATAACGTGGGAAAGGACAATAATAATGACACGCACAGGGGTTTGCATTTAAAGGGAGTTGGACGAATCTATCAATAATACATCATGGTAAAATGGGTCATGTGACAAACCAGACTTACCTTGGCTTTTAGCCACTTATGAAGGCGAAGCAAGAAAAAAAAAGAGAGAGAGGGGGAGAGACAGAAAGAAGGCATGTCAAAATGGCCATAAACGGATCAGAAGTACAAGCGAGCAGGAGGGAAATGATTCCTCGTTGTATTTACACTGAGTAAACATTCAGTAAGACCCGGGCAGGTCAGCGGTTACGAGTCATTCTAGCAGAGGAAAACACTGTGGCTGCAGACTGACAGCACCACACCCAGTGCCACGGTCGGACTGGAAGGAAGTCACAGGAGGAGACGACACGGATAATGTGAACGAGGCAAACAAGTTTTATATCATCATGGTGCACGAGATCGAAGAATTTATCTTTGTGCATCAAAAAGATGTCGCATAAAAATGTTTTTTTAAGTCCACTGAGCATGTATTTGATTATTTTTTTGGGGGGTTTGGAGATGATTGCATTACTGGCAGCAATAAAAAAAACACCTTTGTACTTGTGTGGGCTGATGTCAAAGGGAATACAGAGCCAACAGAGGCAGTGAGAAGGGATTGACAACTGCAGAGTCAAGTAGCTCATCTATAATGCAGCTTCCCCAGTGGCCTTTGCAGAAAGCATTGTAGCTTCTCACAAGTCCACGAGAGAAGATGAAACCCAAAAGCAAATTCACACCGAAGGTCAGCATGATCAAATTATTATAAAAACACCTTCAGTGCAGCTGTGAATGGTACATTTCACATTCAAATTTCACTCACCCCGGGTTATCAGCGCTAGACGGGATTCACTTTACAATCATGCAAAGGCCCACGACTGCCTTCCCTTATCTTCCTGGCTAATGCCGTATCTCTGTTTTATCTGCACAACCCAGACCGGCAGTGTGGGAAACGCTTTTGGGTAACGTCCCGAGTTAAATAATGGGACAGACAGGTTCAGATTAAGGTCATTATCAAGTCCTAAAAACCGGAGCAGTGCAGCCTGTCAGGGCTGGGTGAGTCTGTCCACCATCAGTATGAAAGACTTCCTGAGTTTATTATGGTAGTCGCCAAGGAGACATCCCGAAAAATAACGTCCAAAGAAGATGACACACATGTCGGGGCAAACTGTTCCAGCTGGTATTGATATGATGCTCAGAGAAGAATCAGTTTATCTACGTGCGAGGCCGTAAAAACCAGTTCAGGCCGATGCAAACACTCCGGGCACATGTGGCGGGTTTCACAGTTAACCGACGGCAATAGACATGATTTACACTCCTATTAAAGTATTGATTGTGGTCAGTAAGTAAACCGTGGCTATAGATATTCTGTACAAGCCGGGCATCTGACAGCGGCCATCACCGGATACTATATGAATAAATATGGAGCATTGATGTCGAGTATTGATTGGCTCTTTGGGCTGCGACATGCATAGATGGGAGGAGGTGAGTGATGCAGGAGCGCGTGTGTGTGTGTGTGCGTGTGTGTGTGTGTGTGTTCCCCATCACATTCACCACGTAAATGCTGCATTCATAAAGACATTTTAAGGAGAATATAAACTGAGATTAGGCCCAGAGTAATATGTAATGTTCCTAAAATAGATGCATCGAACACTCTCAAAGCAGCCATGAATCACGGTGGTTTCGGTAATTTGAGACTTTTGTTAAATGACGTCGTGCTCTCCTAATTTGGAGAGAGGAAAGTCAGACGAGTGGATGATTCACACGGGCCTCACTGTGGTTTAGGGTTAGATAGAGCCGGGTGGCAATTAGTTTAGCTTAGCATAAAGACAATGGCTTTCATCCTGCTTTATCAAGGCCTGTAACACTACGGGACGGTGGTGGCAGTGCCTCTAATCCAATCCGTCTGAAAGCTGCAATTAATTGGCTGATTGATGGGTCAGAGGACACTCACAGGGGTGGGGGAGATCGCAAAAAATGCCTCCGGCCGTCAGGAAATGATGTCATTACCGCCACTGTCAGGAGGACCCAGTGACCCTTATAGTGCCCCCCCCCCAGTGATGGCAGAGATGGAGTGAACATGTCACACTTGGATCATGGGAGTTCATCACATGAAAACCAGCTCCTCTCCCGCCTTTCAGATCGTAGCGATGTGACAATAAACTACAAATCTAATTGTAACAACATCATTCCAGAGAAACTGGACAACGAGATTACGAGGGCGGTCCGAGGCCTAAGTGTCTTTAAAAAACGTCTCACAACGCACTGAGAATAGAGCTGTTTTTCCTGAACGCGATATGATGTAATCGCTTTTTTAGTTCATCTCCACCCCCAACCCGTTCCCACCAACCCACACTGAAGCATATTCCTGTAGGGTCAGATGGGGTGCTTTTCTGAAGATGAAAGAGAACGCACAAGAGAGAGAGAGTGTGAGCCAGAAAAACGAGTCAAAGTGGGAGAGAGAGAGACAAGAGAGGGAGGGAGATAGGAATACCTCTGGCAAGAAAGAGAGGAGGGGGAGGGGAAGATAACTTGATATCGTGGAAGAACAGAAGCAGAGAAACTAATTGAGGGTTGAGAAAGCTGATCAGGGGAGCAGATCTAAAGGAGGGAAAAATCCCCCAAAAATCAGGACTCACCTTAACGCCGTGGCCGACGTCGTCCAGTACGTTGTAGTCAACGGGCTTCCTGATGTACCTGACAGGCCGCTCCATGTTAGCCGGCGCTATGATCTTATGGGTCCTCGCGGTGTTCTTGTTGGTGGTCAGGATCCCGATCTCCCGCCGGGCCACCTTCTCTTTGTGGATGTCCACCGTCTGTAAAAGACAAGGAGACAGGAGAGAGAGGGTGTGATCGATGGCAGAGAGACGTACGGACCCCTGGGATTCAATGAACTCGTCATACAGCAGCTTAAGGTTTAATTACATCACGAGGCTGCGCTTTTCATCACCAAGCTTGTAATCTTTTTACGACAGCCAGTGCACACTAATAAAATCGATTGCGGTGGAGACCGGGGCCTGAACGGAATAATGACCCAAGTGTGTCCATCTGGACGTTTGTAACAACGCTGACCCCCTGAATCTAGATTATAAAGTATAATTAATTCAGCAAATTACTAAGGTTATTAATTACACAACAAAAGATAGTGATGAATTGGAATTAAAAGTGCTGAAATGTGATTGAAGTGTGGCACCACTGCATTCATATTAAGTCGATTGTGTCTCTTCCCTTTGCAACATTCATGGGCCAAATTGTGATGCGTTATTTATGAGTGTTTTTCACCAATTGCACCAAAGTTCCATTAATTAGCTTGTCCATTTTATAAAAACTAATTACTTTTAAGATGCATTAGGAAAACCTTGCACACTGCTGGCTCCAATTAGCAGAAATAACTGAACCCAGAAATAAGGCTTCCCTTCTTCATACGCTGCAAGGTGCATGTCTGCAGCCAGGGTTTAATCAGAAGGAACATTAAGGCTTGAACGAGGCAGTAGTTTCTCAATCTTAATATTGGAATTGTATGGTCCATAAAATGCCAGACATTTGTGAAACATTCCCCCCACAAACCGGGTGGACACACTCATTGTCAACCCTTTTTCCAGCGCGATGCTATGTGACGGGCGTTGAAGTAACTATATAATAAGTAAAATCAAGAGGGATGTGGATAATTACAATTTATTAACGTACAATTACTATGCTCTCAAAACCGTCTTGCTAGTATTTTCAATCACCAACTCTGGTTTGGTCGGAATAAACCCTTCAACTACCTTGTTGATCATTGTGAAACACACTTCATTGTTATTTAAATGGCTTGTTTTGTCTGACCAACAATTCCAGGACCAGAAATATTCAATTCACACTTCTATAAAACAGAGAAAATCAGTAAATCCACATAATTAAGAAGATGGAACCAAAAAATGATTCACAGTTTTGCTTAATAAATGACTAATCAACAACTAGTTTTCTGCCAGTTAAACATGAACCATCATGTTCAAACACGGCCAATCTCCTCCAGATCTGAGCACCATCGCACATTTCCATTCCCTGAGCCGGGAGGAGTCCAGGAGCAGCTGCCCTTCCTCAGAGATGAAAGGCTGCAATGTCTGCTGAGGGCAGAGCAGTAAAACGATGGTCTCTCATGGGGGGGTGGGGGACAAGCCCCAACAGAGGATTCCTTTCATGCCACAGGGATCTGGAGCTGGACTGAGCCCCCTCTCTGTTTCACTGTACGGTCAATTTCAAGTATCACTCATCCCAGAGTTGAGGGAGTCAACAACACTGGCGAACTCGTGTGTAGTCCAGTACAGTGCAGCGATCTCTGGACAATGTCAAGTCTAATTTTAAACCCGAGAGCTGACGAGCTAGTGCAAAGTGATGCTAAGCAGACATCAGTTCTTACCAGATGGCAACATCCGGTTCTGTGAAGTGAAACCAATGCAGAAGTGTCTTAAACTTGCATTCTCTCTACTGACCAGCAGGGGGCGACTCCTCCGGTTGCAGAAAGAAGTCTGATTGTATAGAAGTCTATGACAAAATGACTATTTCTCTCTTGATTTATTCCCTCAGTAAACATTGTAAACATGAGTTTATGGTCTCAATCTCTAGTTTCATGTCTTCTTCAATACAGCATGATGTTCATTTAGTAAATTATGGTCCATTTAGAGTCAAATAGACCATAAAACAAGTATGATTTAGGGCGGGGCTACATTGTGATTGACAGGTCGCTACCCTACCAGAGCCGTATACGGCGTCTCTACGTTACTCCTCAGAAGTCCAAACATGGTCACCTCCATTCAATGGTTGCAAAAAACAAGATGGCGACGGCCAAAACGCCGAACTCGAGGCTTCAAAACGTCCACAAACCAAAGGGCGACATCACGATGACTACGTCCACTTCTTGTATGCAGTCTGTGCTTCTTACAGGACACACAAGAATATAAGACACTGGATTGTTCAAATTGACAGAAAAAAATAATCAATATTTCATAACAGGAAAAGTTGCTCATACATAATTGCTCCCGCAGAGACTTCTCCATACAAAGAGGAAACAAAGCTCTGTTCCAATGCTTTGCTGTGTCTGTTTGAATTAAAGGGGGACAGCGCAGCGTCTAAAACAGTCATCTTTTCTAACCTGAGCTGGGCTGCCAGAACATGAGGCTCTTAATATAAAAAAGAACTGCGGTGACAAAGTCTTCCCAATGAGGCGAACAAACCGATGCACAAATATTCCATTTTAGCAACACTTCAAACGCCAGTGTGTTGCGCCTCCACTGCGACTGGATTCGAGCTAATAGTGTGACTCCACACACAGTTCAGAGATAACGGTCATAAATAATGATCGTCTGGAAACAACTGGGCCAAATGTAATCAGTCTTTTTGCCTTCCATTTGCAGGAGTACAGTGATGTTATGATGGACCCAGGCAGAATAAGAAGTAAAGGAGGATTAGGGAATAGCTCAGTATCAGTCTGTCTAGGTCTGGTTTTACTTCCAAAATACAGCTTTATCCTTATTTCACCTCACTGTGACTCCAACACACCGTCCTCTCCTAAGGCTCTTTCCCACTGGACAAAGAAAACTAACTTACACCCACAAACATCTGGCTTTTGTCTTTAGTGGGAACGGTTACAATCTGTATTCATTCCCACGACAGATGTCTGCAGAAGTCACGACCGACTCCAGCTCAGATCAGCAGTGAAGGAAACCGAGTGAATATACTTTTTCCAACACGATACTATGTGATGGGCGTTGAAGTGAATATATAATAAATATAATCAGCAGGGATTTGGACAATAAGAATTTATTAAAGCACAAAACGGTTACTATGCTCTTGTCAAAGCCACCAGACCCACCCCAGTCAAACAACAACAATTTGACCTCGCTAATCATCGAAACACACCTGTCATTAAAACCGTCTTTGTTAGTCTTTCCACTGTTCCAACGATCACAAACCCTGGTGTGAGAGTTTAGAAGAACCCGATTAAATAATAAAAACCACTGTAACATTTTCACTGTTTACTAACCCTGTTTTCCGGCGCGTTTGTTCTTGTTACATACCCCCCAAAGTAACACAAATGCATAATTGTCTTCTGGCAACCTATACATGCACGAGTGGCAATGGGAAAGGAGTCTATCCTCCATTTTAAAACATGCATACAAGTGCTAATTTTGGTGGGAAAAGGCCATTAGAGACCTTGTAAAGTCACGGGACGTTGTTATTATTAGATATCACTGTGAAGAAGCGGAAGAGGAAAAGTCCCACTACAAACCACCAAAAGAAACTCCTCCTAAACAAGAGAACTGGTGTTGAAATATTGCATCTAAATGGGGAAAGCATCTGTTCTTGTCGGAGCACACTCCCCTTATCAGAGAGCAGTCTCTGGACCAACATCATTGCAGCTGGTGAAAAAATGTCCTTCCTGTACGCTGAGAGAATAGCCGTGCTGTAACAGAGCGGCCTGAAGATGATCTCAGAGGGGTGAATTCAAAGACCTTAAATGGATCAGACACAAGAATGCAAAGGTCTCAGTCGAAAAGCGTCTTCTGGCTCGAAGCGTCTTCTGGCGTCTTCTGGCCTTTTCACCGACCGGTCTCGACCTCCAATAGCTCCCTTGAATGCTTCCTCTGACTTTTCAACTGGCACTGAAAGGTGTTTAATTGACTCCGTTTGCCTGTTGGAGAGAGACTGAACTCAAATACAGGTTGCTTAACTGAAAGGTTGATGATTCACATGTGTTGTTCAACCACTGTCACCCATATGTTTGAGGCCTTGTGGGTGGTTTTCCCTGAACGCTGAGCTGTTCTGGCTCTGGTGTTTGGCTTCCCCGCCGGATTTAAAGGGCCTCTTCTTTCTGTTCAATTCTTCCTCTGCATCCTTTTTACATTTTCGCCTTTTTCCCCACATTTCTTTAATTCCACCCGATTCTCCCCACACCCAGAGAGGACTCGGCCACCTATACGACTGCTGTGAGGATTTAGGTCACACATCAGAACTGCTGCCAACACCATCATCCTCGCATCCAAGCCAGACAGACAAACTATATCCAGTCCAGACCACTTTGGACTGAAGAGGTTCTTCCCATTTTTGGGATACGAGTGAGTCAGCGCAGCGGTTGTTGCCACAGGGAGAGATTCTTGTTGTGTTGTTAGCAGCAACAAGTGGCTAAATATTTGTGATTTATTTCTTGTTGCCATTTCGGTTACGGCTGCACTTGGAAAGCCTACAGCTCCAAAGCGGGACACGAGGTCGGCCATTTTTAATGTTCCAACTCCAACACCCAGGAGTCTGATGACATCACACGACGAATCACCAACACGGGCGATCTGGGATCGCTATTAAGAGACCACACAGATGATGAGAAAAGAGCTGGTGTTGTAAACTAATTCCTCGGCTTAACATCTCAAATGCATGACGTGTTCTTCTAATTGTCTTCCGATAGATTTGGTGCAGGAGGAAATGTCCTCCATCCCGTCTGACTGGAAGAAGCATTTCAGTAATAAGAATTAAGTGTAACGGAGAACAGAGTGCAGGTGATTTCTTTTAATATTTTGTATCCGCCACCTTTTTAGACTCATGGTATTCAATGAGAATTAGATTCTTCCCACAGTGGACTAACTTGAACCAGCCTCTCCTCGTCACACCGATTAACACTACAGGGTGAAGTATTTGGAGAGCAGGTCACACGAGTGCGTCCATAAATCTCTCAGTCCGGTTGCATGGTCAATCAAAGGCAGGAAAGGAATGTCGAAGTCTTATGCAAACGTAACTTGACAACTTCCCCCTCCAGACAAACACACAGCGTTCTGGAGGGTGAGGT